AGGGTCCAAACATTTGTGTGTATTCCCTTTGAAAGTTATTATACAAGTATACTAGACATAAATAGTAAGATTCACGAGTGGACTTTAAAAGCTTAAGGAGTAATTAGGTTTTTCATCTTAAGCTGAGTAAGTTAGTAATTTTGAAAAACAAAAGTTGTCAGTCTCTTTCTGGAGGTATATGAATGCACGTGTACACACGCATACACAGAACACACACACACAAAGGCCCACCGCTGTGCCTGCTGAGCAGTTACTGAAGTGTCTCACTAGTGCCCTCCAGTGGCTAAATCCAGAAACAACATGTAAGTTAAACAAAGTTTGAAGTAAAATTTCATGTTTTAAAAAACCTAATGAAATTTAGTGTCAACATGCCTTATATATAATCAGAGATATGACAAATTATTGTATAATAGTGTATTAAAAATTGTAATGCAAAATAAATAAATAGGAAAAAAAACTAATGAAACTGTGAATCACTGGATAGGGTATACAAGTGGAAATAAACCATCAGTGAGTACTTACTACAATATTTTCAATATACTGAGAGAATCCAGAGTGTATCTCAACCGTCCAGAAGTTCTGGGTACGAATGCATGGATGCTCTAGACAGCTCTGGTTGTTAAGAGGACACAAGAAAGAAGAGTCCCAAGAGGCTTCATGGAGCAGGTGACATTTGAACCGCACCTTGAAGTAGGAATTACATCACATGTCATAGGGGGAAAAGGAGCAAGAGCAGAGGCGAGAGAGAATAATGTGTGCTGGAAAAATGGGCTTCAGCAACAGAGAATCATTAAAGCTTTGGGTATGGGAGCAAAATGATCCAAGTTGTGCTTTGGAATTTTCAGCCATGGAATAGTGTATGGGGTGAGTTAGGAAGACAAACGGAAAGGCAGAAAAGCATTTAGATACTAGTGCTAGTTGTGGCGAGAGGATTTGATGACCTGTATAAAAAGGGAAGTGAATGGATCCTGAAAACATTACAGAAGTCAAATCCGTGGGACTTAATTCTATGTAGAAATGAGGGGGTCAGTCAAAAATGACAGTGTTGTTTAGAACCTGCTTTGGGAAAAAAATGTTGGCATAAACAAATGAGATCAAGAACACGATAAAGAACAAGGATCTCTTTTGATGAAAATAATGTTTTTCCAGGAAGAAATGGAATTTTAAGTCTGGGTAAAGCATCGGGGAGAACAGGCCCAGCAAGTAGGTAGAATTTTCAGGATATGACTTAAGAGAAAAAGAACACCTTGAACTATAACAGTTGCTCAGTTGTGATAAGTGGCTGTATGATAAATAAGGGCAAATATGACCAAAAATTTCTCCACAAAGGGAAGACAATGTAGAAGAAGAGTCTGGGGAGATGTTAAATGCAGAAAACGCACTAAGCAATGTCACAGGAGTCAAAGGAAAGACTTCACCAAAATGACCAAAATCTAAGGTCAAGAAATCTTAAGGCCAAAAAGATCATTATTTTGACACAAATGGTCTGATCATTGATCTTCAAGATGATCATTTCAGTAGGAAGGCTTGGGGTGGGGGAGAAACCCAGTTATAAAGGATGGCCCACAAGCAGAAGATGAAGTAAGGATGGAAAACATATATTCTTTTAGAAATTTGACAGAGTGGATAGATAAAACAGTACATTAAGGGACAGCAGAATCCAGAAAAAAGACTATGTTGACTTTTTTTGTTGTTGTTGTTGTATGTGGACACAATACCTTCATTTTATTTATTTATATGTGGTGCTGAGGATCGAACCCTGTGCCTCACACATGCTAGGTGAGCATGCTACCACGGAGTTACCACCCCAGCCCCTATGTTGACTTTCTGAATGGAGGAACTTAGATAAATAAGGGAAAAAAATAAATCAATGGGCAAAAAGAGAAGGGGTGTACAAAAGAGATGAAAGATCAAGGTTTCCTGCAAGATAGGAGTGGAAAACATAAGTAATGATCTCAGAAAATAAAACATTTACATGGGACAATGTAAAAAGATTTAACCTGTATAATCACATGAAAATAGGAGGAAGAACTCAGTTAGAAACAAAATTTAAAGAATTATTGGTCAAATTTTTCCAAAGCTGATAGAAGACATCAAGCCATAAATTCTAAAAGTTCTAAAAAGTTCAGGTAGGATGAATACAACAAAAATCACACCTAAGCACATCTCACTATTAAACACCAAAGCAGGGCATGACTTTCAAAGAGGCAACAAGATTGACAACTGACTTCTCAATGGAAATGATAGAAGCAGAAGATGATGAAATGACATATTTTAAAGTACTGACACAAAATAACTGTCAACCTAGAAGTCTACACCTACCAGAGAAAGTATCCTTACAAGATGGTTAACATGAGATGTTTAGAGATAAATAAGGACTAAAATGATTTTCTGACAGCAGATCCACATTAAAAGAACATTGGAGGGTGTTTTTGTTTTCTGGTTTCTGGGTGGCTTGGTGGTTTTGTCTTTGTTTAATGTCAGAAGGAAAATTATCCCAGATGGAAGTATAGTCATGCAAAAAGGAATGAAGAGCATCAGAGAGCCTGACTGTGAGGACAAATCTAAGCAAACACACTCCCTGTTTAAACAATAGTAATAATATCTTGTGGGGTTCAAAATATATGTAGTATTAAAATATGAGGTAACAATACACAAAGGACAGGAGGAGAGAAAAGAAGTTCCAGAGAGCAGAAGAAGTGCTATTGCATGACAGATGCTAATGTTAAGTTTGAAGGTAGTCATCTCTGGGGTATCCACAAAAAGAATGTTTAGAAAGAATATTTAACGAGCTAATAAAGAAGAACCATGAAAGATAGAAAGTTGATAAATACATGAACGTAATACTTATGTAAGGCATGTAGAGTCAACCGACATTATAAATTGACCAATTCTTAGACTCACAGACTCTTGGAACTGGAAAGGCTCTGGAAATCACCTTGTCCACAATGAGGGTTTTCATGTATGGAGAAGTTAAGCATCTATTTCAAGGTCACATAATTGCAACAGTGCCATGATTTGTATCCACCCTTCCTAATATTTCTTCCCTATTGTTCATTAAGCAATAAAATTAATGCAAAGATCTAAAGAAAAGTATTTGAGACTTAAGGACCACTCTTTAAGAAACATTATCTTAAAACTCACAAGTATGTGAAAAGTCCATTGTATTTATTTAAGTCATCAAATAGCTTTATTTACTACTAAGAGAAATAATATTTTAAATGCAAACATAAGAGACATAGGTAAATTGAAAAGTGGATCCCCCCCAACCCAGTAATGCAGACACTACAATACGTTCTTGCAATTGAAGAAGGTTTTCTTCCACACTTCAGACAGTCCACTATCGATCTGTGTTAAATGTTGATAAAAATTACCAAATTGTTTCTTAGGTTTAGAGGAAAAAAAAATTTTAGTATTCTTCCAAAATATTTGATCACTGCAAATTAGAGACACGAGAATGAGAGTCATGCTCCTTTCTCTGCTACATACCTGAAATCCTGGCACATCTCAGAATTAACAGGGCCTATGTTCCAAATGGAACTCTGGCATGAGGTTGACTTAATGTCAGATCTAAAAAAGCCCTTGAAAGAAGGGCTTAGAAGTAGAGTCTCAGAGGGATCCAGCCAGTGCTTAGAAATTTGAGAACTGATCAAAAATCCAGCTCACTTGTGCAGGCATTCAAGGGTATTGGTCACTGGCCTCCGAGAGGACAAAGATTTCAGTTGAAAAATATACAATATGGTATATTGTCAAAGTGGCATTCTTGAGGGCCATTTCTTAGAATGATGATTTTAGAACAAGATAGAATCCCCCCGGGCAACTGTTACAAATGGAGGGCCTTACTTTACACTCAATTTTGTTGCGAACCTAAAACTCTTCTAAAAATTAAAGTCCCTTTTACAAATAATGGAGGGTCATTTCCTGGGTCCAAGTGGTATGAGCAAAAAGAGGGTGGCATCCTTCTGGTTTGGGAAGTCTCACAAAACAACTGTGTTCCTGTAGCTGTGGCTTGAGCACTTACTACCTTCAGATGCCTACTTGGGCCAAAGTATATACTAGGTTGAGGTCAAGAGTGAACAACTGGAGGGCTAAGACTGCAAGCTAAACAGAACAGATAGATGAGGCTCCTGATGATCTGCCACAATCACTCCAAGAACAGTACCTAAGCCCAAGGACGCACCTTTGTAATATCTAATTCACCTTCATTTCCAATAGTAGTCAGACTAAACATCATGGTTTGTAAAAATCTCCCTGGCAGTTTCAGTGCATTCATAGCTATTGAGTCTATGGAACACTTTTGTTGTTTGAAATGAGACTGTTCAGTACCAAAGAACTGATTTCACAGTGTTTTTTATAATGTCAGATCCCTGGATTACACCCCTCCCAGCCCCAGGGTTCTCCTTCAGCACCCTCTCCAGTGAAGCTCAGAATTTGCATTTCAACTAAACCAAATTTTATAAAGACCCAAGAGAATTCTGGTTTGTTTGAATGAAAAGCAAATGGAAACCTTAAAGCCCATGTTGGAAGGAAGGAAAAGAAACAGACTGAAAATATGTGTTATTTAATCAACAGACAAAATAGAGATACAGGGGAAATAACATTCACAATCAATATGAGTGTTTTTCCGCTTTAGGCACAGAAAAGGAAAAGCATAAACTTTAGGGTTTAATACTCTCTTAGTTAAAGGAAGCAAGAAGAAAGACCGGTTTCCATTCTAACATAAAAGCTAAAATTAAAAAAAAAAAAAAAACACCTAGACATGACCCAGTTCAAAAGACTCCCCAGAAGGCTCCCAGTCAGCAGAGATGAATTATACCATAGATAAGGAAATATACGTGCATTATCAATAAAGACCCATTTAATTTAGTGTGGAATTTAGGTTCTTGCCTGACTTGATTTCATTTTTCTTCTAGTATGGGAAACTCTAGCCACTAAGTATATGGCTTGAACAGAAAGCATGACATTTTAACTTCACATTGTTTCCACCAGTCCTGTTTACATCAGAAACTCAGCCCCACCTCCTCATAATCCTTTTCCAGAGCTGCCAGATCTTCCCTGGCTTCTGAGAACTCCCCTTGTTCCATGCCTTCTGTGATGTACCAGTGTAGAAAAGCCTTCTTGGCATACATGAGGTCAAACTTGTGGTCGAGCCGGTCCCAGGCCTCTGCAATTGCTGTGGTGTTGCTCAACATGCAGACAGCTCTCTGGACCCGGGCCATGTCCCCTCCGGGCATCACCACAGGTGGCTGATGGTTGATGCCCACCTTGAAACCAGTTGGACACCAATCTACAAATTGAACAGAGGTCCTCAACTTCATGGCTGCAATTGCTGCATTCACATCTTTAGGGATCACATCTCCTCGGTATAGTAAGCAGCAGGCCATGTACTTCCCAAGCTGAGGATCACACTTGACCATCTGGTTGGATAACTCAAAGCAAGCAGCAGTGATGTTGGGCACTGACAGATGCTCGTGGTAGGCTTTGTCAGCAGAGATGATGGGGGCAAAGGTTGTCATGGGGAAATGTATTCTTGGATAGGGTACTAGGTTGGTCTGGAATTCAATAAGGTCTATATTCAAGGGTCCTTCAAACCGAAGGGAAGCCGTAATGGAAGATACCACCTGACTTATCAGCCTATTGATACTTGCATAGGAGGGGCGTTCAACACCAAGTTTATGATGGCAGATGTCATAGATGGCCTCATTATCCACCATGAAGGTACAGTCTGAGTGCTCCATGGTAGAATGGGCGGTGAGGATGGAGTTGTAAGGCTCCACTACAGCAGTGGAGATTCTAGGGGCTGGGTAGACAGAGAATTCCAGTTTAGTCTTCTTGCCATACTCTACGGAGAGCTGCTCCATTAGGAGAGATGTAAATCCCGATCCAGTACCTCCTCCAAGGCTTCGGAAAATCAAGAATCCCTGAAGTCCACTGCACTGTTCTGCCTAGGAAAAGTGCAAGCAATGTGAGAATGCAGCCAAATCAATGCACAACTGGAAGGCACAACAAGTTCCCCAAAACAAAGTCAACAAGTTCCAGAGAGGACTGGTTTACGTTTTAACTCCACAACAAGCATAGTTACTTTGGAGTATACCTAAGTGTTACTTCTGGAGTAGGGGAAGCTCTTTTGAGTTTTACTACAGGATGAGCATCCCAAGTTCAAAATCCCAAACTTTTTGAGTGTTAACATGAAGCTACAAGAGGAAAATTCCATACCTGATCTCATGGTGACAGGTTATAGCCAAAACATAGGGACACTGAAAATATTGTATAAAATTACCTTTAGCCTATGTATATAAGGAATAGATTAAATATAAATAAACTTTGTGTTTAGACTTGGGTCCCATCCCTGGAATGTCTCATTATACATATGCAAAACACTCTAAAATCTGAAAAAAAAAAAAATATCCAAAATACTTCTAGTCCCAAGCATTTCAGATAAGGGATAATCAACCTATATAAGCAAAGCATAGATATTCTACCCTCTTTCATTAGCCTCTATGAGTGAGTGTATTGGTAGATGATGAAAAGCAAGGCCTTTATCGGTAACAAAGAAAGTGATGAGCAAAATATTCTAGTGAAATAATGTTGCCCCCATAGTAGGTGAAGTACCTATCTCTTCTAAACCTTCCATCTACACTGCTGATGTAGCAGACATCACGTTACCTAATGATTATGCCAAACCACCTACTCCAGACTTGGGTTCTTATGGAACAATGAGCTGTCAGTAACCAATCTCCAGGTGTAGGATCTGTGTCCTATAAATTTCATAAGCAGTGGTGACTTGGAAAATTATGTGCTTCAGAGTGCTTCAAAAGTCTCTGATAGCAAGATAAACCCTGCATTAGAAGCAAGGGTAGATGGGACCACCTAGTAAGTAAAAGCCTTCTGTCACCCTTCTTATGTAACAAGGTATAATCAAAACCAACACTGGGACCCTTTTCCAGGTCTGAGCACCCACAAAGACACCCAGATGAAAGGCTCGGGTGGCCATGGTGGTGCCTGTAGATAATGTTGGTGCATCCTACTGCAGACCACCAGTGCCCAGGTATGGCCTGATCAGAGGAGAGAGGGGTCACTTGCCAGCTTTCTGATCCTCTCCAGCACAAGGCTGATGATCTCAGAGCCCACAGAGTAGTGACCTCGTGCATAGTTGTTGGCAGCATCCTCCTTTCCGCTAACAAGCTGCTCTGGGTGGAAGAGTGAACGTAACTTTCCTGTACGGATCCCATCTGCAGGGGGAAAGGTAGTCAGTGCAGTTCAACTGTCAGCCCTTTGCTGATCCTCACAGGGCTCCATACTGTCCCCACCCTTTCCCCCAGTGTTGTGGTAAAAGAACAAACATACTTCAGAACTAGCGTTTCTTAATCTAGACAAAGGTAGAATCTTTTACATATAAGTTGAAAGTATATTTTCCACCATATACCCTGTATTATTTTCTTAAGGCTGCCATAACAAATTTGCCTTAAAACAACAAAAATTTATTTTCTAACAGTTCAGGAAGCCAAAAGTTTAAAATCAAGTTGTGGTTGGTTCCTTTGGGAGCCTCTAGGGAGAATCCGTTCTCTCTCTCTCTCTTTCTCTCTCCCTCTCTCTCTCTCTCTCTCAACTTCTAGTGACTTTTAACAATCCTTGGGTGGTAGCTGCCTCTGTCATACATGTCCTCTTCCTCTCTTTTTTCCTGTGGAAGACACAATTCTTTGACTTTAGGGCCTAACCCAATCCAACATGACCTCATCTTAACTAACTACATCTGCAAAGACTCCATTTACGAATATGGTCACATTCTGGGGTTCCAGGTAAATATTAGTTTAGAGGGGACACTATTCAACCCATTCATTACTCCATAATGCTTTAGAATTTTGAGACAAGTATTCCTCTCTAAAAATTGCCAACTATGTGCTGAAATAGAATGAAAAGTATACCAATCTAAATTATAATCAGTATTATTTATAAGAGATTTTAACAACAAAATCACGACAAACTCAAATGACCCTGTGACTCAAATGCAGGAAGGATGAATGCACAAAACAGTTTGTGAAAACCAAAAATATTCAGCTATCTTTCATTTTCCTCCATGAGTTTATCTGCGTCTTCAATCTACTAACAATAGAAAATTCTACAAAGAAAGAATATATTCTTGGATCAAGTCCTAGGTTGGTCTGGAATTCAGTGAGGCCGACATTGAAAGACATTTCTGTTTCAGTCAGCTTTTTCACCATTGTGACCAAAAGAGATGAAAAGAGAAATTTTAAAGAAAGAAAAGTTTATGTGGGGCTCATGGTTTCATAGGTCTTAGGACATGGATGGCCAACTTCATTGCTCTGAGTCAGGGGTGAGGCAGACATCAGGGCATAAGGGTGTGGCGGAAGAAAGCAGCTTCAGGGCACCAGGAAGCAGAGAGAGCTCTCACTCACCAGGGACAAAACATAAACCCCAAAGGCATGGCCCCTAGAGCCACACTCTATCTGCCTACAGCCACTACCCAGTTAATCCATTCAAGTGCATTAATGCACTGAGTAGGCTAAGGCTCTCATAACCCAATCATTTGGCTTCTAAACCTTCTTGCATTGTCTCACACATGAAATTTTGAGGGACAACTCAACTCTAAAAAGTTAGAATAACTTCCTACCCTTGCAACAATCTTATAATTTTCTTCAATCCATACTATTTGTGTCATTATGTTGCACATAGCAGGTGCCAAGTACATTAATGAATAAATCTTGTGATTATTCTTTAAATTATAGTTCTAAATCTGCCTTTCTCCCAAATCTAAACCATTCACTGGCCTCTATTTCCTATCAAATACAAATCAAACATCTTATTCATGGAGATTCCATGGTTTGCCTTCTAAGATTCCAATTGTAACATTTTTTCACCAATAGATTATGATACTTCTCTGCCATAAAAGAAATATTCCAGTTTAAGCCTCCTATAACTCCTGTATATTAACGCCCTCCTCAGGTTCAAGCCAAAACAATATTCCCAAGCATCTGAATGTGTCTGTGGTCATGATTTCTTTTACTCTCACCCATGAATTATTGAAATTCCCCTGCCCATTCTTCAGAACTCAAGTGCAAGATCACTTTGTCCATGAAGTCTTTTCTAATCTCTTCCAAAAAGATAGGCTTTATGTCCTCATTTCCTTCTCTTTAAGGCTTTCCTTGTGCACACACATATAATATGCCCCTCCTCGTCTCCTTGCTTTATTTTTCTCCAGACCACTTATCATCATCATCGGAAAAACTGTTTACTGGGTGTTTTTCTTGGTCTGTACCTCACTTGAATGTTGTCTCCATAGAGACTGAGATACATGCACACACACACACACACACACACACACACACACACACACATATCCAATGTCAGGAACACTGCCTAGAATGTCTGAGGCACTCTTATTTGTTGAATAAAACAAGGAAAACCAATGCTTTTCCCCTAAATCCTGCAACACTTTTCTTCTATCTCTGTCTGAACTGGCTCAGGACCCTGAAAATCATCCTCCCTGTGAGCTATGTCCTAGAGGACTAGGGAATTTCTTCCAATTGTTGCTGCTACCTTCCTGTCTTTTGACTTTCTCAGCTTCTGATCCTGGGCCTTAATCCTTCTATTTGCCTGGCATTTTTGATTAACAAAAGCTAAAATACCTGCTGTGATGTCCATGATAACTGGATTTAGCCTCTTCAAATCCACATTGCTCCTTCAACTACACTGACCAAAGTCCACTGAAAAACACATAATCCACTTTGCCTAGGTTCCTGGAACACTAGATTCCAGCTAAGGCTCACAGTTGCAAACTCCCCTTGGTCTTGCATAAAAATTTATATATTATCTTTAGGCATTTATAACTTGAATCACACTGTAACATAATTGTTTATCTTAGCCTCCATACCAGTCTCATCTGGTGATTTTTTGTATTTTGTTTTTTGTTTTGGGGGGGTGTTATGGGGTATTATGGGGTTTCTTTGTTTTATTTGGGGTTTTTTGTTGGTAGTGGTGTTTGGTGTCTTGTTTTGTTTTGTTTATTGCTTGGTTGGTATGGGAAATTTAACCCAAGGGTGCTTAACCCTGAACCACATTCCCAGCCCTTTTTATTTTTTGGTTTTGAGACAGGGTCTCACTAAGTTGCTTAGAGCCTCACTAAGTTGCTGAGGCTGACTTTGAATTTGTGATCCTCCTGCCTCAGCCTCCCAAGTCACTGGGATTACAGGCATGCACCACCATGACCAACTCATTTGTTCTTAAAGCCATCAGTAATTTCTTATTTTTTACTCTTTCACAGACTCTACAGAGTAATACTGAATTTATATATGGGTCTCTTGGCCTCAACATTTCTAACCCACTCCTCTTAATAAAACATTCTGTTTTTTCATTTACAGTGACATCAATCAACCTGCCCCCATCAGTTTGTCACTTTTTTTGTCTCTGTTCTTACAAGGAAATCAACTCCAATCTAGTGTGAATGGCCTCTATTTTTATATTACAGGCAGATTATATTCTACAAAAATATTTCCCATTGTACATGTGCTTCTAGAACCTCACCAATCTTGCATATAGGTAGGGTTCATTCATATGCTACCCCCCCACCCTTGTGGATTTTTGTTAACTACCTCAACCCATGCAGAATAGATAAAGTGACACTGTATGACTTCCTGGGCTACATGATAAAAGTGCCGTGGTCTTCTCTCTTATTCTCATGTGATGCTTGCACTCAGAACCCAGCCACCATGCTGTGAGGAAGCCAAAGCAGCCCACAGAAAGCCTACATCTCAAAGAGTAACCAAGGCCCCACCTGCATGCTTGGCCTACATCTCAGCCTACAACCAGCACCAACTTGCCAACCATGTAAGTGAGCCTCTTTCAAAGTAGATCCCCTTTTTCCAAGCTCCCATCTGAACCTCCCTGGCTGGTACCCTGTGGAACAAAGAGGAGCTGTCTTCTCTGAGCCCCACCAAGTTGCAGATTCATGAACAACATAGTGATTATAACCCTAAACCACCGAGTTTGAGGGTATTTATTATACAGGAACAGATAACTGACACACAATCTCAAACCCAAATCTACCCTGCTCTCTAGTTGTTTTCCATGTCAGTATAAACTCTTCTCTCTCCAATATTTCTCTAGCCCCATTTCTCTAGCCCTCAAGAGTGTTTTCCCAAGATACAACAAAGTCTATCATTACTAATCATAAATTGGTATTGATTTCCCCCCCATAATTTGAATATTTATTTGGTTCCTTGCTGCTTTGAAATTATCTTCAAATATTCTACTCTTGATAAGCAAAATAATGACAAACTTTTAAATTCTTTGCCAGTAGCTGCAGGCAGCAGGCTCACAAATCCAGGAAAAATTCAGTGTTCTATTACAATATATGAGCAGACAAATTAACAAGGTTTTAATTAGTTTCATCACATACATAAAAAGACCTAGTCTCCTCTTTGGGTATGTTTGTCATGTTCATCACCCTAAATGGCTATCAAATGAGGCTCTAAATTTGGAAAAGGTTTATAAGATTCTGTTAAGATGGCTTAGTACAATCTCATGCTCTGCCCATTTGATTTGTTTGATTGTGGACCTGGTGAAGTACACTAGAACATAAACCTTATGTTACCTATAACAGTTGGTTCCAAGTCCATGAACAGTGTTCTGGGCACATGCTTCCCAGCCCTCGTCTCATGAAAGAAGGTATCAAAAGATGCATTCATGTGCTTCATTTTAGAATTTTCCAACTGATTCTGTTGACTGTCAAGAACGATGCCATCTGGCTGGATTCCATGTTCCAGGCAATAGAGTTCCCAACAAGCATCCCCAATCTGGGCGCCAGCTTGACCAATGTGAATGGAAAGGCACTCCCTCTGAAATAAGCCACAGTGAGTTAGAACTGGACAAGCACTCAGACCATGAGCACCGCACCGTTGCTCAGCACTTCTAACTACAGATGAATCAAGCTAAAGCCCACAGATAAATATCTTCTGATGATAATCAAAAGTGTCCTATGGAAACCAAAGACCAGAGTTCATAAGCTAAACTTCAGAGACAACTGAACCATTGACTTAAATGCTATTAGAAAGTTTATTTCAACAATATAAATTAAGCACCTATTGTACATTGAGTTAAAACTCAGTTAAGAATACATATAATCTATGAGTATGTGTATGTACACATGTGAGCGTGCATGGGGAAATGGGTATGTGTATGTGTATGCATAGTATGTGAGTGTTGGTGTCATACCAACTCACTCAGAAAAAAATTTAGCTAGTTATTGTAAAGGAATAAAACCAAAATCAATTTTCAACCTAATCAGGTATTATAAATCATCACAGACAAATAAAAGAGGTTATCTTTTCAGACCTTGAAATTTTATATTTATTGTGCATATTTGCTCTATATAAGAAATAATAGTCTAAGCTAAAATTAGTAGAAACTTTGCCAAGGACAAAATATAATAGCTTTATCAATCCCAAAATGTAAAACTTCTATACCATAACAAATTGATATATATAAATATGTATTGTATAAAGGGCTATGTATAAATTAATTGCATATACCCTGATTTTTTTAAACTCTTAAGACATGTGCTAGACAAATAGGCAAGTGGCATAAACAAATGAATTACAAAAGAGAGGCCCTGAAAAACAAAGATTTTGGCATTCATAATATTATAATTTATAATGGTGAAAACCAAGAACCAATCTGCTCAACCATCTACTCAATCTACTTGCGTTCATCTATTGTCAGATATTTATTTAAAGAATTTTACTTCAATCAAAGAGCATATCATATAATTCTTAAATATTTACCAAAAAAAATAATATGTGGAAAATGCTTAAGATAAAAAATCAAGTACAAAGCATCTGAGACACATTATTATATTTATGGGGTATGATGCTCTATCCATTTTTAAAAAGGCACAGAAAATGAATGCATCAAGATATTAATCCTAGTTACATCTGGATAGTAAGTAATTTTTTTCTTATCTAAACCTACTATTTTCTTCTCACCAGCTTCCATCCCATTTTTTAAATCAAACAACTTTTTTAGTAATTTAAGCAGGCAAAATTATTTACTTTTTTGAGATGAAAAGAAAAGGTTAAATCCCAGAAATCTAAAGTCACAGCAATTGCTGATTTTAATATTGCTACATTTTGATTGCCAGTGGTCCTAGAACAAGTCCTTGTCAGAGAGATAAGGAGGAGCCTCTCTTTCAAATCATCAGGCCCTTCAAGCTGTCTGCTGACCTGGTCAGCCTAGGGGCAACCCTGAGCTGCTCCATAACTGCACTGTCTCAAAGTCAGATTCCACTATAAAAAGACCTTGGACCTCCCCATCAATAACTGGCTATGGTCAACACAGACCTCTTCTCAATAGGAGAGAGCAAGTTCTGACCAGCCACACCCCTGCAATCTGACTTGGACTCTGTTCATGCTCAGCAGCCTCAAAACCTTGTACTTTGTGTCTTGGATTCAGAAGGCATAATGCAGCCTTCTTCAGGAGAAGTCCAAGCTACGTGTTTAGGAGAACTTCCTTCTTGTTTCTTCTCTGTGTAACTGTCAGTCTCATGATAAAGGCTGAGAACTTAACTTTGAAAACACCTTCCTCAGAACTTGTATTCCTACTTCTATTTGGTAGATAAAAATCAAAACAACACATTCCATTGCAAACATTCTTCAAATGCCTTTATCTGCAAAGAGTTTTCATTCCTCTCCCCACCTGACAGACTATAAATGCTATGACTACATTAGCTACTGTAATCAGATCAAAGCTTTATTTCCCCAAATTTAAGTTAAAATTGAGAAAGGGGAAGAGAGTGTTCATTGTTTACACATCGTTAGAGTCTCTTAATCAGTAAAGTTTACATGTACATTTCTCTCACTAACTCTTCCGCAGCTGTCCATCATCCTGTTCTGTACTCCACCCAAATGAGGTCGTAGCTCACAGGATTCACAGTAAAAATAATCATTAACAAAAAAAATTCATCACTGCTCTTCATGTGGTTCAAACAGAGTAATACTGTCCTTTTGTAACTCAGCAGGAATCACTTGGTTCAACAAGCCCCTTGCTTGGCTTTAGAGGAAGCTGGGTTTATAAGAGAACTGGGTCCAGGGGTGTAGAAGACCATGTTCACCTTAGTCTTCTCTTATCCTCTCCCTCCTGCTAAAATACTAGTCACAGTATGAAACACTGTAAGACTGCAAAATGTCCACAAAATCTCAACACTGACAGGTCACAGCACACCAATGAATGCTGCTACCCAGCTTATTTGAATTACTAGGAAAGCATAATTTTTAATTAAACATTTAAGATTGAGATCATTGTTGATTCATATGCAGTTTTAAAAAAAAATGACACAAAAAGATTTCATGTACCTCTTAGTCATTTGCCCTCTGAGGAAATATCTTGCAAAACCATAGTAAAACATCACCCCAGAATAATAGCATTTATAGTTAAGATACAGAACATTCCATTACTAGACATATTCCTCTTGTTGGAAGGCATAATTCTTGAGAGAAAAAAATTAACAAATTGTAAAATGCTGGAGAGAGAGTACAACAGATAATTAGAGATGAAATCAGTTTTAAAGATTGCTTTGATTAAGGACAAAAAATTCTAAGATACTTAAAATTACATCCATAGAAGAGATTACAGATGAAGTGGGCCTTAGAAGATGGTTCCCAAATAGGAAAGACAGGGAAATGCATCTGACATAGCTTTCCTATGTACATATATGAATACACCATAGTCAGTCTCAACATCGTGCACATCCACGGGACTGGGATCCTGATTAGAGTAAGATGTACTCCATGTTTGTATAAATATATCAAAATAGACTCTACTGTCATGTAAAACTAAAAAGGACAAAAATTTTTTAAAAGATGGTCTCAAAACAGAATTATTGTAAACACAATATTCATTATTATACTCAAAGAAATGCAGAGCAAAGAAAGTGTCTGTGCACTTTACCCTGCCACGCATTTATGATCCTAGCAATAGTAGCCTGGGTCTGAAGTCCCCAGAGACTCCAAAGCATAAATGGAAATTAAGCAATTGATTTCTACAGAAAAATAAGCATAGTGGTTCAAAAACAAACGTAAAAACTAAAGGAGAGTTTCTTGCTTCAGTGCTTTAATACAGCAGTGAAGGACTGCAAACCAACCTACCTTCACATTGAGAGAAGCAAAGCTACAGATGAACAGATTAGAACCTATTCAAATCTGCTCCCAACGTCGAATGGGTACTGAAAGAAACAAATGTCTATTTTAAAAGTTCTTCTCTTGTAGTAAGACTTTACTGAGAAATTTGGGTGGAGGAAAAGATGAGTAAAATTTGCCTCAGCACCAAATCAGCACTGTCAACAATGTGCAGGTACCAAGCCACTTACCATGCTGATCTGCACTTGCCCCTACTGCCCAGTGGTAATGATTGAGGAGCAATCATTTCTATCTACACTTTAATCACAGGACCCGGAAATGACTCCACCTGAGGGCTGCAAACTTTCTTCACTTAAAGCAGTACCGTCTCTTTTTAGTTCTACACTTCTCTGGTCTAAAATTGACTGTGATGGGTTTAAACGACCTGTGATAAAGTTTGTGCCATTGCAGGTGAGTTAATGACAGCTTATCACAATCTGCTTTCATCACACACCTATGCTGAAAATAACAAGCATCTTTAAAAATTCTCCTCTTGGGTTATGAATTCATTAACCATTGATAGGGGAAAAGAAAGAGTATAAGCAAATTTGCTGTGATAGCAAATCAACTTTTCTTATTACCTGAGGGCTTTTTGAATAGCTTCTCTTCAACAAGAGTCAAAAGATCCTAAATATATAGAGCAAACCAAAAAATGTCTACCTCCCACTCATGCATGTCCACCATCATGTGATGTTTTATTAATTGCATTAAGTTCAGAAACATTTTAAGTGATTTCTCTCTTTATATATTTGTTACAACTTCCTTTATATTCTGCCATATGGTCCATTTTTGAAAATGTTTCATGAATGCCTGAAAAGAATGTGTTTTAGACAGGTAAGATCAATAAATAGATCTATTAAGTCCAACTGATTTATTGTGTAGTTCAAATTTTCAGTATCAATTATTTTAAAAGATATGTCAAAATTTATGCTATGATTATGGATTCATCTACCATTTCTTTTTCTGTCAAATTTTGCTTGATGTATTTTGAGACTATGTCATCAAGAGCATATAAATTTTAAATTAATATTTTCTGTGGAACTGAAACATTATTTTGAATCACCATTGGTACTAATAATTTTTGCTTTAAAATCTTTGTGATAAAATATTAATATCACTATTTAAGTATAGTTTTTGAATAGTATTCAAACACTTTCTTTTTGTACTCAATAATATATGTGTGCCTCTTGCAATTATTTGAATGGCATTTAGAGAAAACATTGAGGTCTTCTTTCTTTTTTTTTTTTTTTTTTTTTTTTTTGGTGCTTGGGGTTGAACCCAGGGCCTTATGCATGTGAGGCAAGCACTCTACCAACTGAGCTATATCCCCAGCCCAAAGTCTTCCTAAGAAAGAAGAAATTTCTGCTGTGTGTTACAACTTCTGTTTCAGCACCAACTCAAAAATTTTCCAGCCTGCCTGCCTGCCTTTGGGATCTCAGACTCTATAGACCTAAGCATCCATAAGCATGGAAACCAATTCCTTGAAATAAATTATACACACACACACACACACACACACACACGCACTACTGGTTCAACAACACTTGGTAGCTGTCCTTAGGTCTTGAAAAAATGAAAAAATTTCCATGTGATAAAAATGTGGCGTTTATAATTAGGATTCCCTTTCTTTTCAAAGTTTCTTCCTGAAATATTACTCAGTGAATGGGTCAGTCAATCCACTTGCCAATTCGCTGGCTAAGAAAGAAAACCTTGTCAGCAAGGAATTTTTTTGTTTTCAAAATTATTTTGATCGATATTCTGAGGTTTCTGAAGTTCTCTTTGAAAATACTCTTTTGGCAACCCTGGAAGCCACCAAAATCACTGTCTACTATTATTCCCTCCCATCAAGCCAAACCCTTTCCTTTTCCTCCTCCATCCTTCCTTCCCACTAGGAACACAATTCAGCCTTTTAAATCTTCTGTGATCTCTTAATAAGATCATATAATCATAAAAAAAAATTCAGTGTACTTCTGATCAATAGTGCCTTCTCTGGTCACACATTTATATTGTTAACTTTTATTCACCTTCTCTCAACCAACAGCTAATATCCCATCTCTGGAATTTTAGTTTTCCTCATTGAAATACCTGAAAGCAGACCAATACAGTAATTACATGATAGGTAGGTAGATAGATAGATAGATAGATAGATAGATAGATAGATAGATAGAAGAAATAGCCACACGTGATAGATTTTAAAAGATAACAAACCTGATTTCAAATATACTGCCTTATTGTGCCTATACATCATACACTTCTGTTTCTCAGAGACAACTGAAATTTTTCCTTGAAGATAATTACCATAAAGGTGACCTTCCCATTGGTAGCATAAGAAAAATAATAGGTCCGGTATCTTTAAAGCATTCTTCTAATTCTGATGTTTCTGCAAATATGAATCTGAAGATTTGATGAAAAAACTGAAGTATCTAAAATGCAGAGTGGTAAATCAGATTGTTGGGATGGCAGAAGAAAAGGGAAGTAATGGGCATTTCCAGTATTTTCCCTATGAAGCCCAAGTTATAAACAGCTGGCACAAACTAGTATAAGCTTACTGGTTGTTAGAAAAAAATAATAAATCACTTTTGTACTAGTTGTAACTACTTTTCTGGGTCCCCTAAGTTCGCCCCACCTGCCCCAGTCCCACCCCACCCCTTGGGGCCTCCCCTGCCCCACAATCCAGAAACTAAAGAGTGCCTGGCTCAATATCTGGCTCAGTGTTATCCTAAAAGTCCAGCCTCCAGGGCCCTCAACAGCTTCTCCTAGGAATCCCAGGTGGTAAGGAATGCCCACTCAATCTTAGGCAGTCCAGGAGGTACCACTGAGCACATCAGCCAAGTCCTCTGCCTAGGCACAGGAACTCCCACCATTGTGTATCTCCCCAGCATGGCAGGCTCTGGCAGCCCAATGACGAACACCAGATTCTGACCTCCCAGACCCATAGCCATCTAACTCTGCTGGCAGTATCTCAGGATACTGTCACATGGTTTTGTACAGGAGCTGTAACTTTCACTACAGGCATCGAATTCTACCTCCATTTTATGGATGAATTTTTAATACCCACTCAATTCCCACCCTTCACTTGTAACAACTTGAATTTTGTTCATGGCATTGAAGCTAAGGCAGCATAGGTCTGACTATGCCAATGATTCTTCTAAAGGCATATTAACTCACTGCAGTACTATAATTATCATGACCCTTGCCCCCCATAAACATTTTACAAGGACACTGATAGGCAGGGAAGTTGTTTAAACCTTGAGTAGGTAAGCCAGGATTTGAATCACTACTTCCTGAGAACCACATATTTAACTATTGGACTACAATGTCTTCCATTTGGCAGAAGCAATTAAGTTTGACATAACTAAAAATTAATCTAATAAACATTTTTATAACAATAATAAAGATACTAAATTTATCTTTTATTTTTAAAATTATTACATCATATGTATTTATACACATGCGCATATACACACATTCATTCTCTTGAGTGTAATTGCTATGAATTTATCAAAAGAGTATTCAAAACAAAAAGAAAAAATTATTGATGACATAAAGAGAAATTTCCTGATTATTAAGACTACTAGTTCCTTAATAGGAAAGTCTTTATTCATAAATTTATTTCATTTCTGTATGTAATTTCAAGCTCCATTTAGCTAGTAATAATAGAGGCAAACAAAACATTACACCAAAATCAACAAATAATTAGAAAATTATTGGATTGGATTTGATAAATGCTTTGCACTATAAAATATATATCACTTGATCAGCAGTATTGTAAAACTAGTGTTTAATTTATCTAAGGAATAGATTTTATCATTATTTATTACATATTAATTTATATTAGTGTGCTAGTTGTTGAATCTATTTAAAATTAATCTGCCTAACAATTTCAATCAAATGCATATGGCTAAAAATTTTGGAAATCCTCCAAGAGAATATTTCTAAATCTATGATCATTAATCGACACTTCTTTAAGTGTCGATTAATGATCATAGATTTAGAAATATTCAACAACTAGCACAGTGATTGTTACAGGTTCCAAAAGGATGGGCCACCTCTCAATACACCACCAAAACCAGTTTTAGGACCTGCAGAACTGAAGACAAACTCTGACTTCCAAGGTTCTCACCTGTTCCTGTGGGTAAATATGTGGTTTCGTCCAAATATCTGCATCCTATAAAGCTCTATCTGGGATTACAGTCTGTATTATTATGTTGTAACTGTACTAAAACAGTACTTCCTTCTTTAATTTTGAGGGAAGAGTAGGTGGGGTAAAGGTGTTTATTAGTGAAGGATATCCTACTCCCTAACTTCTTATCCTTTTCAAACTAAAGCATTTTCCCCTTGGGTTGTAAAGGTAATACAAGTTCAGTATCTCACTCTTTTAAAAAAAGTATTCAACATAAGAAAGTAAAATTTAAAATGTTTTAAATGCCCCAAAGTCTGATACCTACAGACATCTTCATACACTATGTAATATTTTGCAATTCATGACTCTGAATATACTGAATACACCTTTATGTTCCATGTTTTTTACTGAAAATTACAATGTATTATTCTATTACACGTCCCAATTTTTTTTATTGGCTGAAAATATTATTTCCAGTAGATGAGCCAGAATTGGCAATTTTCCTATCATTGTTTGGTTTAGTTGTCTTTAATTTTTCTGTTATAACAACAATGCCATTAATATATCTTCATGTACAGATAATTTTATTTCTTAGGATAAATTCCAAGAAATGGATTTATAATGCCAAATAAGAGAAAATTTTTAAAGACTTTAACACATGCAGTACAATATTTAAAATCAAAGAACATGTTCATTTGTTTCACAATTGTCTTCTTGAGAAGGTCCTTTATTTTATTTACTAGTTCCTTTAGCGCCTTCTTAGACGCAGAGAAGTCACTGTCTCCTAGCATAGGGCTCATAACTAGATTTCACTGGTTTCCTAGAAACAGCCCAGGTTTCCAAAGACAGTTCCATGATCTTTGGCAATTGGGGATATATCTCACAAGAATAATTTAGTATAGTCAATAACCAAGCTTCAGTATAGGTCATTACTTATAACCTCTATCCTCCCTAAACGCTAATGAAGATCTAGTGACCTGAAATGCTTCCAGTCCATTTGCCTTGGACTGCAGTAAAAGTCCTAATAAACAATGAAAGAAGTACTAGGGGATTGAGAAATACAGTCGGAATGAAAACCAAACTTTCCCAATTCCCCTCCAGTCTTTCTTCCCTCCCTTTCCCTGGGCGCCTTCAGGTCTGGCAGAGGAGGGGGCGGGACTCCACGTCCCCTAGCAACCACCGCCTGCTCCTGATTGGGTGATCGCTGCGCAGCCGCCATTTTCAAATCCCCGGATGATGGTGGTGGTGGCGGCTTTCTAACAGGCACTTGCTGCCTCATAGAAGCGGCGGGCACTGTGCCCGTCCCTGTCGGTCTCCCGGGCACCCGGCCACCGCCCCACCCCCTCTTCCACGACATGGAGCTAGAGCCGGCGACTCAGAAGCAGCCTCGGCCGCGAAGGCGAAGCCGCCGGGCCTCCGTACTCAACGGGGATGGCGCCGCGGGTCCTTCGGCCGACACCCCCCGGCCAGAGCTGGACGGGAGGTGAGTGCGAGGTCCCGGGGAGGATGTGGGCCTAGGCCGGGGATGGAGAGCGCGGGGACCGGGGTAAGGACGGGCAGGGCACGGGTTCCCGGGGGCCGAGTGCGGTGGGCAGCCCGAGCGACTGAGGGCTCGGCCTGGAGCTGACGTCCGGGAGGCCCCGACTGCGGCTGCCCAGCCCTGCGAGGAGGGGCGGGCTTGTTGACACTCTCCTCCTGGCCCTTCCCAGAGGCAGAGGAATAGCCACACTGGTTCTGTGCTCCACAGCCGATTGGTCATGGGCTGCAGATGCTCCGACCAAAACTCTCACGGAGTTTGAACCTAAAAGCGAGTTTTTCAATAAAATGTTTTTCGGAAGCCAGAATCCTTCTTTGCATGTCGGAGTCTGGAAAGGGTAGACCCTAGACTGGGGTTTCAGAAAGCTGTATCTGGAAGAGGAGTCATGTAAAAAATAATGAAGACGTTGCTTTCCATTGCAATGCGGTTGGTTCCAATTACAAAATGAATGACCTTGTTTGAGTTGCTTACTATCTCTTAATGTCTCTGCACAGTGCATTATATTAGTACCCAAGGGCCTTGTGAAATTTAGTGAATGTAAAGTGCTTAGAATGTGCCTGTACACAAAAAGCTGTCAAATAAATGTTAACTTACTTGTCCTGTTGACTGTCATCTGTCTGGTTTTTATCTGTAAAAATAGTAATTCCTGTCTACTCCATCTTTTCAGAAGTCCCTGTTGTTCACTGAACATTATTTTAGATAAACTACAGTCCTTTATATAACTTACATTCCCGTCAGGATATGTCAATCCCTTGGATATGTCAATCCCTTGGATATGTCAATCCCTTTTTGAGAAATAGGGAGGGGAAAAAGAAAAAAAAAAACCTAGTTTCAGCAACAAGATGTTGATAAGCCCATTGTAAGTTACTCTGCAAAAAGCTAGAGTTCTTCACTCAAGCTGATATTTATTTATTTGTTTGTTTGTTTATTGGTTTCAGATGTTGAACCCCTGGGGAGTACTTAACCACCAAGCTACATCCCCCATCCTTTTTATTTTTTAAGACAGGGTCTCTTAAGTTCTTAGGCTGGCTTTGAACTTATGATCCTCCTGCCTCAAGCTGGTTTTTCCTTGAAGTTTAGGATGAACTTTATCTGAATATATCTTTCTGAAACCTTCTCTATACCAATTATAGCCTATCATTAAGAAGTAGTGAAAGAGCAGAGAAAAAGAAGCTACCATCTCTTGAGACTAAGAAATAGAAGAACCAGGAAAAACTAGGTCAGGGAAAGTAAAATTTAAAAAATATATATCTACTGGAGGCAGTGTTAAATTCATTCATTCAGTATTACTACTGAATACCTACCTGGTATTGGACATTGTTGTAGATAATGGGAAATCTACTGGGGAAAAAAAAAAAAAAAAAGATGAAATCCTTTCTTTTGTGCAAGTTGGTTGGGGGACAAAATAGTAATCAAATATATAAAATATCAGGTGGTCACATAAAGTGAATCAGGCATGGTAGGAAGACTAGAGTTAGGAAGAGGGTAGTTTGTTATTTCTAAAAGATCACAAGGAAAGACTCTGATGATAATAACAAAATTGGAGCAAAGACTGAAGGAAAGACCTAGGCCATGCAGTATTTGGGGGAAGAGTATTCTAGACAGAGAAGAACAGCAAGTGCAGAGATTTTGAAGTAGAATTCTATTGGGTGTGTTCAAGTAACTTCAAAGAAAACAAGGTGTTTTAGTTGGCTTTTTCGCTGCTGCAACTAAAAGACTGGACTAGAACAATTGTAGAGAAAGAAAAGTTTCTTTGAGGGCTCACGGTTTCAGAGGTCTCAGTCCATAGACAGCCGGTTCCATTCCTCAGGGCTTGAGGTAGGCTGAATATCTTGGCAGAAGTGTGGTGGAGGAAAGTAGTTCATATAATGATCAGAAAGCAGAGATAGACTCCTCTGGCCAAACACAATATATACCTCAAATGCATGCTCTTAGGGAACCATCCTCTCCAGCTACACCCTACCCCTCTTCAGTCTCCACCCAGTTAATTCATCATTGGATTAATTTACAGATTGGATTAAGGCTCTCAGCCCAATTATTTCTCCTCTAAACCTTGCATTGTCTCACACCTAAGCTTTTGGGGGACATCTGACATCCAAACTATAACACAGGGTGACTAGAGTTGAGTGAAACAAAGTGAGGAATGATAGATAAGGTCAGAAAGATGACTGGGGCTAGATCATGGAGTAACTGGTGGACCATTGCTAAATTTGATTTAGCCAATTGGGAAATAAGCGGAAACAATGTGATATATATTTTTAAAGACTCACTCTATTATGTAGCAAAGATGGAATTACAAAAGACCAATTAGGAGGTTATTGCAGTTGATACAACATGTGAGCATGAGAGGTGGTGAAATGTGTTTATATTTGGGGCATAGTCAAGGAACAACAAAGTTTTTTTGATTAAAAGCTGGAACAAGGCACTTTAATAAAAAAGTCTTCTGAAATAAATTATAATTCATGTCACTTAATAATATGAAGATATAATATGATAAATGATAAAAGATTATGTGGATGACAGGCTCTCTTTCCTATATAAGTGCACAGATTAGACTTTTAAAAACGCTGCTCTAGAAAAGTGCTATTATATAACTACATAGAGAGCCATCTGTGAGGAGTGGGTTGAGAAGCAGCAATTAATGATCTCAAAAGATTATTTTTAATCTAATACAAATATATGTTACAAAGTAGCATTCACAGTGGCACTTAAAATATTTAATAAGCGTTTCCTTTTGGGTATAGGACAAGTATTAAGAAAAATTACAAATCAAAGCTATTAATACTTTTTATCACACAGAAATAACTATACTGACCTCAGAAAGGTATTTTGGTTTTGTTTTGTTTTGCGGGGGGAGGTTTGGCATAGGGGATTTAACCAGAGGGGCGTTTAACTACTGACCCACATGTCCACCTCTGTTTATATTTTATTTTGAGACAGGTTACTAAATTGCTGAGGCTGGCTTTGAACTTGTTGTCCTTCTGCCTCAGCCTCCTGAGCTGCTGGGATTACAGGTATACACCACCATGTCCGGCTCGGAAAGAGTTTGATGTCTAAAAGTTGGAAAGAAAAATAGCTCTTAAGAATTCTTAAGACATTAACGAACAGAAAAACATTTCCAAGTCAATGGTAGATTCTTTCCAGTATTATCTGTAATCAGCTTTACAGTAATGCTATTTTCCCCCATTTTAATAATAAGCGTCTATTTATTTTGAATTCCTATGGAAAAAAGAAACCTAAAAAACAAATTATGTCCAGAAAGCATGTGTGACAGTGCCAGACTTCCAAAAATCTTGGAAAGACACACATTTTTTTTATAGAAGGCAGACTCAAAATCTAGTATCTATTTTAAATTCTTATGGGAAAATTTTTTCAATTTCATAAGACTTTAAGATTACAAGTGGCCTTTTTATAGGCCCCACAGGACATTCCACTTAAAAAGTGGGGGAGAGGGTTTAAAAGATTGAAATGTAAGCTAGAAGTGATAGTCCTTCATCTTTTCGAAAATTTCTATCCATATATACAAATATTTTTGTCCATATATTGAATATATTTTTAAATATACCCAATAATAAAATTGAAATAATACATTAAGGGCTGGGGATGTGGCTCAAGCGGTAGCGCGCTCACTTGGCATGCGTGTGGCCCGGGTTTGATCCTCAGCACCACATACAAACAAAGATGTTGTGTCCACCGAAAACTAAAAAATAAATAAATAATGATAATAATAATAATACATTAAGGAACTAGCGTGGTTCATTACATATTGAAGTCATAAAATAATACATTAAGGAACTATTGTGGTTTATTACATTTTTTTTATTTAATGCCACTGTGATTTCCCTTGACTCCAACATGCTTTCTTTAATATTATTTGATGGGTTTCTGAACAATGTAAATTATTTTTGCATTAACTAGTTTTAATACAAATGAAGCATAATTAGAAATGGTAAGGCTGCTGTTTGAAAAGAGAATCATTCTATTAATTCTTCTTAAGCCAAATTATATCTTCAGAGATTTTGATGTGTCATTGCCTTCTTCTACCATGGCAGATATGAGTTGAAGCAGAATTATAAATAGAAGAAAGGTATTAAACAATGTATCAAACAACATGATTGCCAACAGGAAGAAAAAACACATTCTTAAAAACAGAATTATTTTCAAGATGTTTCATTGTAAAATGTAGAATAGAATGATGGAATGAAGTTTAAAACAAACAGTTAAAAAAGCAATAGCTAGTTATCATTTATTGTCTACTATGTAACAAGCACTGTATATGTAAATATATATATATATATTAACACACACACACATATATATATATATATATCCTTATGAAAACATCACAACTCTTCCAATTAAACTACAAAACTATAAAGATACTGACTTATCATAAAGTACACACTTTATTGAACTTAGAAAACTACAGAAACCCTTGAATTGATTTAAACTTGCAAATTTAAACTTGTAAATTTCTGCAGGAATGACAGCCATCTGTGGTATTTTTAAATTTATTATGAACAAAGATCATGAAAGTCAAAGGAAAAGACCAGATTCACAAATGGACTATGGCCTACAATCCAAGAAGCTAAATAATAACTTCTATAATACTTAGCCTAAAATAGCCAGGACTTCATTAATAACTGTCACTTTCCTAACTTTGGTCCCATTTCCTACTTAGGACCAATCAAAGTAAGCGAGATAGGCACCTTATCCAATCACAATACACACACACACACACACACACACATTCTTTTAGTTAGCTCGCCTACAACTTCCCTTAATGACAGTCTTCATTCAGTTCATTTTTGAACCTCCCC